CGGCCTGCCCTCTGCTCCCCCCCCCCCACCGGTGCCCGCAAAGAAAGCTGAGTGGCTTTCACCACCCGCGGAGGGGGAGCAGGGAGGGGCCCCGCCAAGCCGTGTGCGGGCCAGCCGGGCTCAGCCAGCCCAAGAAAGTCTGCAAGCCTGAAGTCTCCTGTGCTTCCTCCTTTGCTTGTCGCCTGATGTTTTATTTCAAGGTTCCCTGAGCCTCCAGTTTGGGGGGGAGTTGGGTGCAGGGGGTCTGCACGCTGCCCCCCCAACCCCCAGCCTGGCTTTGAGGTGAATCCAGCCCGAAGCCACAGAAACCTTGAGTTCTTCGGGTCTCCACGAAGATCCCTGCACACTCCCACTCCCAGTCTTCTGGAATGGGCTCCTTTGGGTACTTGTTCCCTCACTCAGCACACACTGACCGAGTGCTTTCCCTGTGCCGGGCCCTGGGGTCACAGCAGCCTGTCCTCTTGGAGCTGGCCTCTGGCGGGGAGATGGCCAGTCCCTAGAGAAGCAAACGGAGGTGGCGGGGGGGGGGGGGGGGGGAGGGGGCCAGCCCCTAGGGAAGGAAAGGGGGGGGGGGGGGGGGGGGGTGCTGGACAGGGACACTAGCTTTTGAGGGATGTTAGAGACCAGACAGTGCCTCTGAGATGCAGGTGGGGATGGTGGGGTCCTAGCCTGGTTGCTCGCTGAGGGGAAGAGCCCAGGATCTGGGGACCGCCGGGAGGGGCGCAGGGAAGGCAGGTGCTGGTTATGTTCCCAGTGGGGCTTGGGTGGGGAGGAGGAGGATGGTGTAAGTGGAAGAACCCTTACTTGGATCCCCCCTATCCCGGCTGAGGAGCTGAAGCCCAGAGCGGTACAGGACTGCCACCCATGCCTGGGTCCGGGAATGACACCCAGGAGTCCCAGGACCCTTGGCGGGGACTGAAGGCTGTTCTCAGACCCAAGAGGGACAGGCTGTGGGATTTCATCCGCTCAGAGCTCTGTCCTCCTCAGGACCTCCAACTGCGTGAGTCTCCTAGGGCTGCCGCAGCCGATGACCAGAGTGGGTGGCTTAAAATGACAGAAATGTATTCGCACATGGTTCTGGAGGCCCGAAGTCCACAGTCAAGGTGTCAGGAGGGCTGCACTCCCTCTGAATGCGTGAAGAAGGGAGAGTCTGTTCCATGTGTGCCTTTCTCTCAGCTTCCAGTGCCACCAGCAAGCATGGTTGGCTTGTAGATGTCTCTCTTCAGCCTCTGCTCTGTTGTCACCTCTGTGCCCATCTTCTCATGGGCTTCTTGTAAGGACCACAGTTATTGTATTAGGCCCCATATTAATCCAATATGACCTTCTTTTAAATTGATTATATTATAAAAAAAAAAACCGCTACCTCCAAATAAGGTCACATTCACGTGTCCTAGGGGTTAGGACCTGAACATATTTGGGGGGAGATGCAATTCAACCTACATGTGGCCACATCCGGGTCTCACGCAAGGACCCATGTTTCAGACTAGGGTCGTGAGTCTGGGCTTTCCCCCCAAGACTTCTGCTTCACTTAACCTCTCTGTGGTCCCACCCTCAACGTGGGCCCAGCCCTCAAAGTGGGGAGACAAGTCTTCCTTAAAAGCTATGGGGAGGGGGCGCCTGGGTGGCTCAGTGGGTTAGGCCGCTGCCTTTGGCTCAGGTCATGATCTCAGGGTCTTGGGATCGAGTCCCGCATCGGGCTCTCTGCTCAGCAGGGAGCCTGCTTCCCTCTCTCTCTCTCTCTGCCTTCCTCTCCATCTACTTGTGATCTCTGTCTGTCAAATAAATAAATAAAATCTTTAAAAAAAAAAAAAGTTCTCTTATTTAAAAAAAAAAAAAAAGCTATGGGGAGGGGTGCCTGGGTGGCTCAGTCCTTAAGTGTCTGCCTTTGGCTCAGGTCATGATCCCCAGGGCCTGGGATCAGTCCTGCATGGGGCTCCCTGCTCTGTGGGAAGCCTGTTGTCCCTCTCCCCGTCCCCCTGCTTGTGTTCCCTCCCTCGATGTGTTTCTTTCTGTCAAATAAATAAAAATCTTAAAAAAAAAAAAAAAGGTATGGAGAGAATAAATGAGACCATGGATTGGCCATCATTTACAGCCCTCCGTGGCCTTGGGGAAGGCACCTGGAGCCTAGGTGGCCTCCTCTGAAAACTGGGCTAATAGTACCTACTGATAACAAAGGCTGTTTTGAGTTAGATCATCTAATGTACGTTAAGTCACCTACTCAAGGAGCTGGCCCCAAACAAATAATGAACTTTATCAGTATTAGCGGTGTGCGAGGATTGACCACGTAAAAGTGCCCAGCACTCAGAAAATGTTGGACCGACGTTGGCGGCCCTGAGCCTTTGCATTCTGCTCTCGCTGCTGTTCCGTCCTTCAGTGTGGCTCTGGCCCGGCTCCCACAGGCCTTCCGACTCTATAAAGAACACCTACTGCTGTCTGCTCCCTTCTCACCGCCCTAGACACCTAAACCAACAGTCGCATTCATTCATGTCTCTCCACTCCTGAAATGTAAGCTCTCGGGGTGGTGGCAGCGGTGCAGGCTTGTTTCCTACCTGCAGTGTCCCGGGGCCTGACCCCCGATGGACCATTCATAAGGATCTGATGGGGGAAGAGCGGATTCCCAAGCGGAGATGGGGCACGTGGGGAAGTGGCGCCACCCGACGGGAGAGGTCAGGAATGCAGAAACTCAGGGGGCACAGTGAACGACTGCAGGAACCCCTACCCAAGCATTCGCGCGTGAGGGCACACACGGCCCCCCGCCGGGGGGAGGAGGAGGGGTCCCCTTCCCCGGGCCAAGGAGCGCGAGGTGCACGCAGCCAGCCCGCCGTGGACAAACGCCCCGCCCGAGCCCCGCACTTTCCGCTTTTCCGAGCCTGTGTCCCCGCCCTGGGCGGCCGCCCCTGACTGGGAAACCCCAGGCCCCCGCGGCGCCAGCACGTGCTCCGCAAACGCCCGCCGCCCGCGTGCAGCCGCGCTCCACGCCGGCGCTCCTCCCGCGCCAGGTTTTCGCCGGGAGGGGCTCGGGGCGCGGGGCGGGCGGGGCCGCCGCGGGGTGGGCGGGGCCGGGCGCAGGGGGCTCTGGGACTTGTAGGCGGAGAGCCTCAGCAGCCGGCGCCCGCCGCAAAAGCACCGCCCACCCCGCCCAAGTGCGTCCTGGCCATGGCTGGGGCAGCCTCCGAGAGGCCCTGTCTGCGACGGAAGGGGAAATTGAGGCCCGGCCGAAGGGACTCAGCTTACCCAAGATCGCGCGGTCGAGTGATGGCCGCCTTCCCTGGCCTCTAGGAAACACGTTTAGGCACACTTTAATCAAAGTTTCCAAAGGGCGCTCTGAGGGCCCCTTGTCTGCGGGAGAGCTCTCCTCACCTCCGTTTCATCGCGCATTCACTCAGCAAACACTTGCCGAAGGCCCTCTGCTTGCCCGGCCTTCAGCTTGAGCCAGACGTCCGAGATCTCACCTAGCAGAAGAGGGAGAGCCGCACACGCACAGGTGGGCGGGGTCTGAAAACCCAAGGACTTCGAAGGAAATAAAAGGCAGGACAAAGGAGCAGGAGTGTGGCTGGGGTGTTGGAGGGACATGAGCGATAGGACTGAGGGAGGAATGAGGTGGGACAGAGAACTGTGTCCTAGGAGGACTGCTAAAGATTGGGGGCTCCCCTCCCCGCGTCGGGGGCGGCGGAGGCTCAGGCACAGGTTTGAGGGAAGGAAGGAGAGCAGGGCCAGGGGACCTCGGACTTGAGACAGTCTTGGTCTGGAGTCGAACACAGCCTAGACAGAGAAGGTGCGGGATGAACACCTGAAACACTAGGGCACAAGGCAGGCCGTGCCACTCCCAGTCCAGCAGACCCCGGCCTGTGTCCCACTGTCCCCGAGGCGACAGGCTCCGCCCAAAGTGACCTCACTTAGAGCAGCAGTTCTCAGCGGCGCTAGTGTGTGCACAGCTGCCCCTGGCCGTGCGGGGGTTTGGAGGCCCGGAGCAGCGCCCTGCTCTGCCCGAAGTTGTGACCCGCCAGCGGGGAGCGCTGATGCCCGGGCCAGCTTCAACGCCCCGAACTCAGAAAGGTCCCACGCAGAGTTTAATGCTCTGCTGTTTGATGTGAAATTGCTAATGAGTTTGAACGAGTTCTGTAGCCAGTCCTGCCTGGTGTGGAGCTCACAGAGGCCCTGGCATGGCCTGTTTCTGGGGCTGGGACAGGGATGGAGGGTCCGGACCACCCTGAGCTTGCGTTTCCTCCAGGGTCGCGCATATAGAGGGAGGAATCCGTGATATCAGCTGCGGATGGACTTTTGACGAGGCCAGAACAACTTCCCCTGCCTAGACACCCTCCGGAGGTCTCTGTGATCACTCTGGACCCTCCTGGATGGTAGACGCCAGGTTTCTGTCCCTCCCGGTGGTACACTGTATTTTTGACGTTGACCTGCCTTATTCATAGAACTCCGTGGAGCTAGAGTGTATGTTCCATGCACCCATACGGCCCCATCCTGGGGTTCCTGTTGCATGAGGGGCCCTGAAAAGGATTCGTCGAATGAATCATATTTGCATACAAAACACAAATCATTTCACCTTCTAATACATGTTGCCGTATCTTACCTCGCCCTGAGATAAATGTTGGCTCAATAAACATGTTGCTCATCATCGCTCCCCTCTAGTTCACTGCACGAGGGCAGTGGCGGGAATCCGGCCGGTATGCGGACCGCCCCTCTCGGGGAGAGGACAGTGGAGTTGGCCGGCCGCGACCCCGCCCCCTCCCCCGCCCCGCTCCGCCCCGCCCCAGGGTTTCCCGGGCCCACAGGGCGAGGCGGGGAGGGGCCGGGACTACGCTTCCCGGCGGCCCCTGCGCGCCCGTGGCAGGGCGGGGCCGCGGCTGGGGGGCGGGGCCGCGGCCGGCTGGGGGCGGGGCCGCTTACAAAGCCCGGGGGCGGGCGCCCGGGCGCAGATTGCCCGCAGCGCCGGCCAGAGCGCAGCGCAGCGCAGGGAGGTGTGCACGGCGCGAGCGGCCCGCGAGTGAACGGGCCCCGCGGCTGGATCGGCGCCGGTGCTACCCTGCTCGCTCCCCGCCGCCGCCCATGAGCCCAGCGCCGCGCGGCCCGGGTCTGTAGGCGGCGGGGCGCCCCCCCCCCCCTCCATGCTGCTGCAGCCCGCGCCGTGCGCTCCGAGCGCGGGCTTCCCGCGGCCCCCGGCCGCCCCCGGCGCCATGCACGGCTCGCAGAAGGACACCACGTTCACCAAGATCTTCGTGGGCGGCCTGCCCTACCACACCACCGACGCCTCGCTCAGGAAGTACTTCGAGGGCTTCGGGGACATCGAGGAGGCCGTGGTCATCACCGACCGTCAGACGGGCAAGTCCCGCGGCTACGGCTTCGTAAGTGGCCCCGCGGCCGGGCGCGCACCCCGTCCCGCACTTATCGCGTCGGGGGCGATGAGTCAACCGGCGGGCGTACGCCCAGCCGCCCCGGCACCTGCCGCCCCCTCCTGGGCTCGGGGGCGGAGGTTCACGCTCCTGCAGGTCGCACCGCCGCTACCTGGCCCCGGCTCCCTCCTCCACCCCGCTCCCGGTTTTGGCCCCGGCTCCCTCCTCCACCCCGCTCCCGGTTTAAAAGGCAGAGCAGTTGTGTTCAGTTAGCACTTCTGAGTTTGCGGAGAGGTTTTGGGGACAGTTGGCTGCTGCCAGGACCTCCTGGAGCAACAAGCAAGCAGAAGCCGAGGCTTCGCCTCAGGGCGCTTTGGAGGCCTTTAGTACCCCCTCCCCAGTATTTTATAAAAGCTCCCTTAACCGCCCCAAAGAAACATCAGTTTAAGTAAAAAACGGCCTGAAGAATTGTCTCCTCCTTCCCTTCTAAGTAGCATCCCCCAACCTCTCCCATGGGGACACTCGCACCCCCCACGGAAAGGCAGGCAGAAAGGGCTGAGGCCGCTGCCTTCCCTGGGGCGGGGGAGGGTGCCTTGTTTCCCCTCGGCATCCTTTCTGTCCTTGAAGGCTGGGTTTCCCAGCACATGAACTTGGAGGGAGGAGCTGGAATCCAGGGGCGCCTCTGTGGGAGGGCCCCAGGGTGGGAGGCCAGTGGGGATGGGGCCAGAGGTTCTGGGTCACTGCCCCCCCCTTGCACAGAGGGAAGTGAGGGCCCCTTGCGGGAGCAGAGCTCTCTGCTCCTCCCACCCAGTAAGGGAAGCCCCTGAAACGTCTGTGCTCCTCCAGGTGACCATGGCCGACCGGGCAGCAGCTGAGAGAGCTTGCAAAGACCCTAATCCCAACATTGACGGCCGCAAGGCCAACGTGAACCTGGCCTATCTGGGTGCCAAGCCGAGGAGCCTCCAGACGGGTGAGAGAGCCCGTGTTTTCCTTCCCTGGCTCGTCTTGATTGCTATATTCAGTGTTGGTATCTGTGGGGTGGAAACGGCCCCCCTCCCCGGCCCTGCCCCAGGAGTGGCTGTCTGCTATCATGTGCTTGCAGAACCGTCACGAGGCCGTCCTCCCCCAGCTTGGGAGCTGGACACCTTGGTCTAGGGCCATGGGAGGCTCCCTACGCGTGGGGCAGGGTGAGGAGGGCACATCACCCAGTCCTCAGCTGTCTTGGAGGAAGGGAGGAAGTTGGTTCCCGGGGCTGGAGAGTGGGAGGACGGACCGCCAGAGGCTGCTGCCACCCTGTCTGGCTTGGGCAGGGCGCTTTGGGCTTGGTGGGATGGTGGCCTGGGAGTGTAGAGGAAGCCCATCATGGGTCCCTTTTGTTGGGGCTGGTGGGGGTACAGCTGTGTGCTCCTGCTCCCTGGGCTGAGGCCGAGCCCCTGACTGCTGTCTCATTTTAGGCTTTGCCATTGGTGTGCAGCAGCTTCACCCCACCTTGATCCAGCGGACTTATGGGTGAGTGGATGTGGCTGCTGGGGGCAGGGCTGGGGGTGGGGTGGCAGACCACCCGGAGCAGGCCACGGGCGCCCCTCGGTCCAAGGGAGTGTTTCTCCCCAGGGCTGCTGGCCCCACAGCGTTGATTGTGCTGTTCGCCTCCACACTTTCTCTGATTCCCAGAAACGGGATTGTGTTCTGAGGGCGGGCAGGGCGTGGTAGGCTGGGAGAACTAAGAGAAGGCAGAGAGTGCTTCCCCACTCCCCGACAGAGGCCACAGTGCGTGGGCACAGGAGCCTGCCAGCCTAGTCTCCAGTCCTGGCTCCCCCCTTGCTAGGTGTGTGGCCTCCAGTGGCTTACACGGCCATCTGTGCCTCAGTTTCCTCCCTGGGAAACAGGGACGGTAGCAGCATCTCTGAGTCCTGTGGGTGGAGAGCTTCCGGCTGGGCCCGGCGGGGGCACAGGAGCACTCTGGAAACATGGCCCAGGTTCTGTGGGACTGGCGGCTGGGCTCTCCTCAGGGGGCCTGCTGACCTGCTCTGGTGCCTGACAGATGGTGGCAGCAGGTCTCTGCCTCCCAGGGTCTGGTGCCTAGGAGAGCCGCAGCAGGTGAGACAGGCCCCAGGCCAGATGTCCAGCCCAAAGGGGCCCGGCCTGTGGACCTTTTTGTCCGCCGTGCTTTGGTGTGGCCCATCCCACTCTCTCCTCACTTTTTTTTTTTTTTGAACTTCTAATGAGTCCTGGCAGCTGGTTGCGGAAGGGCACACACGCTTCAGGGCCACAAAGGAGCCTGCCCTGCGATGTGCCTTCCCAGCCCCGTGATTGATGTCGGCCGTGTGCCCCAGGGCCGGGAGCAGGTTGATGGGGGTGGCGAGGGCCGTTACCAGACAGGTGGCCCCTTGTAGGATGTCAGCACTTCCTAAGCTCTCAGACACCAGATCCCGGCCTTGGGTTTTGCGCTTCACATTGTGTGAGCGTGTGTCTGCGTCTGCCCTAGGAAGGCCAAGCTCAGGGGCGGCCCGGCTCCCGGGCAAGGGTGGGAGCTGGGCTCGGGTGGACTGCGCGGGTCAGACAGATGGCCGAGGACTTGCTCTGTCACCTCCCTTCGGGGGCGACTTGGGGGTGCTTGCGCAGACGGGCAGCATCTGTGTCTGCGTGGTGGCCTGGCGTGGATTGGCGTGTGTGGGAGCTCGGCTCTCGGTCTCTTCCCTGGGAGGAAGCCCGGGGGCGGCCGGGAGCAGGTGGTTCTGGGTTTCCTTCTCGCCCTGGGATCTGCTTCATCAGCATCTGGAGCCATCTTGGAAGGTATCTGGGGACACCTGCCATCACCCTAGTCCTTCCTCTTTGGGATTCAGGTCCCACGGGGAGGGCGTTCTTCAATTTCCATAGCCTTGGCTCTGTTCCCCAGGTCCATCCCACGCAGCTGGGACCGGGGCCGGAGGGGGCGGCCGGGTGCACGAAGCTCAGGGCACAGGCCGGGAGCACCTGCGGCTCCGTCCTGCTTCAGACGAAGCAGTGCCTTCCCCTCCCAAGTTCAAGCTCTTTTCTGATCCATTACAGCTGCTCTAAGGCTCCACTAACCGTCAGGACTCAGCCTCTGGAGCCTACAGAGTTCCAGTCCTGGCTCCAGCACGGTCCAGCCGGGCCCATTCGGCCGGTGATGGTGTCTCATCTGTTGTTTCCCGGATGGAAATGATAAGCCCTCCCCGCAGTGCCAGCACCTGGGGCTGGGTGCTCTGTGCCCCTGGCCCCCACTCCCTCCTGTCCTCACGACAGCCCTCTGAGGTCGGAACCGATGTTATCCTCACTTCCTCGATGAGGAAACTGAGGCAGAGGTTCATGGTCTGCCAAGGTGACCTGAGTGACACGATCTGAAACCAGGCTGTCTGGCTTCGAACCCACAGTCTGCCCCGCTACTCTCTGGGGCAGGTGGCTGGGAAGGGTGCCCCAGCCTTTCCTCTCAGGGCCCCTTGAATGCCATCCACACCAGGGTAGCGGGGGTCAGCATGGATTTTACCACTGTGCGTTCCTGACTTCAGGTGACAGTGTTTGGTAACTGAATCTCTGGCTGGCATCTGACACCCGTGACAATGAGGAGGCCGCCAGCTCTATTTGCCGGTTGCCAGGGGGCGGAGACCCAAACAGGGACAAGGGGTCAGGGGGACCGTCCAGCTCTTCGTTTCCAGAGGCCGGTGGACCGAAGCCTCTCAGGGTCACGCCGCCCTCCCACCAGGCCCTGCTGGGCTCCGGGGTGGTGGGAGGGGCCCCTAGGGGTGCTGTCCCCAGAGAGGTGGGGCAGGGCTGCCCGGGGTCAGCCGTCCCCCCTGCCTCCCCACAGTGCCCCTCAGTCGGGAGAGTTGGGCCGTCAGCGTCCCTTTTGTCTTTTGTCTTTGCGAACGAGAACAATCGGGCGGGAGCGCCGCTGGCCTGACTCAGCCGTGGGCGCTGCGGGCTGGCAGGGAGGCCTGGCCTGCCGCTGGCCGAGGGCACGGTGGGAGCCGGAGCTGGAGACGGGCAGCTCGGGCTTTTGAAAGCAGTTAACCCCTCTCCTGCCTGGCCAAACTTCCCGCAGGCTTCCTGGCTCCGATCCTGCGGCTTAGACAGTTACAAAGATCCCACAGCCCCGCTTTCGGGCAAGGCTGCGACACGAGCCTTTTGCCTGCTGGGCTGTAAACGTCAGCTCCGAAGGTCACCCCGGGAACTTCTTACGTGTTAAGCTTTTTTTCCCCGCCCTCCGTTTTTTAAAGCAGATTGGGGTCTTTCAGGACCTTCCTGGCACTCCCATGTCCTGTAACTGAGGGGTCAAGGCCTGAGGTTGGCAGGTGACAAGTGACTTAATCACGGGAGGACGCGACTAAGGCCACAGGCCATCCAGCTGAGCGTCTCTTCGCTGCCTGGGTGGGACAGTCCGCAGCCCACAGGCAGGAAAGTTCGGAGCGGTTTGAAGAGGGCACATGTCGGGGGCAGTTTGGGGTCTGCCCTGGAAGGGACCTCCTGGTGTCAAAGGGTGTGTGTCCGGGCCTGGGCCCAAGGCCTGCCAGGATCTGAGATTTGTCCCGGGCCTGGCTGCACTCGGAGCCTCTCCTTGGGCTACGTTTGAAGAGCCAGCTGCTTCTCTGGGCACAGCCCCCGCCCCGTTGTTAAGGGAGCCTTGCTGTGGTCTTCGCCCCTTGACCACAAGCCCCGTTCCATGCCTGGGGATTGTGGGCGGCGGCCAGGCCCCGGGTCCCAGATAGCTGGGTTGCTGTGTGCTGGGGCAGGGATCCCAGGGTGTGCTTGAGGTCATCTCCCCGTCCGCATGGTGGTGCCCAGATTGCAGGTACCACGCAGAAAGATTTGGGATTTTTCAGGGACCCATCTCGCGGCAGCGCCCTGACAAGGCCTGCTGACCTAGCTGCCTGTGGAGGCGCTGGGTGAGCTGGGCGGGGAGAAACTTGCCTGAGCTCACGTTGTGTGTGGCTGGGAGGCTCTAGCACTCTCCTTCCTTCCACGAGGCCCTTACACCTCCGTCTGGGCAGCTCTTGGACAAACCAGAACCAGACACCCCAGGACTGACGACCGTCATGGAATCCTCTTCAGACGGTGTGTGCCCTGGACTTTGAGAGCGTCCAGTCCCCCTGTGAGGCCCCCACTGCCCTCGCCATCACTAGGCCACAGGCGTGTGCGCACTGAGAGGTCTGTTCCCAGTCCCCGGGTCACCAGGGTGGGAGGAGGCCTGGGGATGGACAGTAAGATGGCCGTGTCCTCAGAAGCATGGCACACACAGGGCTCAGAGTCCGTCCTTCCTTCGTCAAGCCTTCAGTGTGCTGGACGCCAGGCCCTGGGCCCAGAATACTTGACAGAAGACAGACACAGTCGGTTCCCCGCCTCAGGGTGCTCGCCTTCCTGCAGGGACGCCAGACCATTAAGGACTCTACCGTGCCCGTGAGGGTTCGGCAGTGGTGTTGGGGGAGCGACCCTGGGTTGGGGGGAGGTCCTCGTGGGGAGTGGTTCTGCCTGGTGCTTGTCACGGTGGGCGGGCCATCTGGGCTGGTGACAGAGTGTCCTGGACAGACATGACAAAAAGGGCTGACATCTGACCAGGGCCTCCGGCTTAGCTAAGAGCCGCCAGCCGGCATCAGGCTCCTAGTGTTGGCAACACGCTGGGTGGTGGTAGACGTCACCCCTGGGGGACACTGGAGGAGGGCCCGCAGGACCTCCCTGTCCGTTGTTGCAGCTTCTTGGGGTTCTACTATTGTTTCGTAATCCAAAGTAAATAAAGGCACGTGGGGGGGAGTGAGTGGCAGAGCCTTGCAGGGGGTGGGGGGGAGGGTCACCATCTTGGGGGGCACGGCAGGAAGTGAGGTCAGAGCCGGAGGCCTTGGGGGCTGGGAGGAAGCTGGTGCCCGCTGTGGCGTCACCCGGCTTGTTTTTACTTTCAGGGTGCCTGGGGTGGCCCTGCTCCCCACACTGTAAGCTTCCTGTTTGGCACCCACCAGAGCGAGGCGTGGGCCGGCGTGTGGCCCTCCCCTGTGGGCCGCCCGTGCACACCTGTTGTTTGTCCCCGGCGGCTGTAACAGAAACCAGCCTCCGGGCGGCCCTGGGGTTCCTTGGGAGGAGGAGCTCCTCTCTCCGGCCCACTGCCTTGGCAGGGAGGGCCTTCTGCCGGGCACTGCGTGGGTGTGCCCTGGGGCGGGTGGGGGGGACAGGGGAGTGTTCCCAGGCTCCCTGCTGCGGAGACCCGAGCCCCAGCCGAGGAGGCTGGAGGCGTTTTCATGACTCGTGTGTGCCTCGCCTTGGGCCATGATTTTTCCTTAGCTTCCCTGTCTCCATGTGGGCGGGATGAGGGCTCTGCGGGGTCGTGGGGGGACGTCTGCCGTCAGGCTCCCACTGCCTCTGTGACGGGGTAGGAGGAGGCTGGAGGGCTTTCACTCAGCGGGGTCGGTCCATAGGTGCTTGCTTCCTTTGCTGCAGTCCAGGGCTGGGGACAAGGGGGAGCCGTGCCCCATGAGGGGTGCAGAGGGGCGTGCACAGGGAGCCCA